TGTGTCCTGTGGTGTACTACTTGAATGTCAACTACCACCTTTCTGCCACTCCCTCCCCAGAATGGGATCCCTGACAATGGAAACATCGTATGTGCCATAAACTCTCCAGTCAACCATTACTTCATCCTGGGAAAGTGATCCACCAGCAAGTGGGCCAAGATCAAGGAAGGAGGGTAAACACTGGTCTTATTGGCTCTTTTTTTCTAGTACTACTGTACATCCACAAAAGGAGGCAAGAAACCGCAGATTCCTATATGTTCTAGAAGCCCTATAGAGCAAACTGACAGGCTGGGGTGGCTTACAGTTTCTGGGTTTGCTGATGTTGCCATCCCCCACAGTTCTTGAAGTATCCTCTGCAATTACAGACAGCATCACCACAGCCTGGAGGAGAACCTTTTCTCCAAAAGGAGGACACAGGTTTATGGACAATAAATGCTTCATGAAGCCTAGTGTCCTAGGAGTCACTACTAGCAGATCCTCAAGGCCCTCTAAAACAAGCATTTGGGAGACAGATTCTTGGTTCATATTAGCTTAGAAGAGCAAAGCAGAAAAAACTGTAAGAGTGTCCTGATAAGACCAGTAGAAGGGAGGTCTCCTTATGCTTAACCCAGGGCAGGGAGCAAACACATATCAAATGCCATGGACTATCCATGCTCTTTAGAATTGGAGCTCCTGAATGGTCAGGAAGCATAGATGGAAACAAGGAAGAGAGAGGTCAGTGTTAAGGGATAGACCTGAGAGGAGGGAGAGCACCAGTATGTCTACCCCCATGTCTGGGGGAGTCTATGTTTGGTGGTAGCAGGCAGGCCAGAAGTCCAGGGGCAGGTATTGGTGGGAGATGAGAATAGGAAAGGACCTAGGCCCATCTACTGTATTGGATGGAGAATGCAGGTGCACATGGAGGACATTGGTATGAGGTTCTTTGTGTCCCTTGAATAAGGAACTGGGAGGGTCTCTGCAGAATTTATATGGATATGGTGTAAACTAAACCTCTAGGATCCCATTTTTAATGATCACCCTTGCTGAATGAGGTGCTCCAATACACCCCAGTCAGCACTGAGCCTCAGGAGGCCAGTTGCTCTCATGGCTATCATTGAGCACTCACACACACGATCTTGTCCTTGAGTCTGTTTTTGTCCTGGGAATCAGGATCAAAGCCTCTAGGGCTTCTGCCTGGGCTACACACAAATGCAGCCTGCATCTCAGAGTAGACTAGGGATATATAGGAGGACACTGTCTATTCCTTCCATCTTGGTGGGAGAAGAGTGTGTCTGTACATAGGCTGTGTGGTCCTTTTATTCTGAGTGGAATGTGACTCTACACAAACAAGGCAATGGAAGCTACAAGCACAGTGTTGTATGAGAATTGGGCTCGTAGCCCATCAGAAGACCCCACGAGATTACCAGGAGACCACCCTCAGGCACTAGAGTGATGACATGGTATCCTTTTATTTAGAGCTGAGGTGACTCAAATGACCTGACCACTGTCCTTCAGGTAGCCACTGTCCTTCGGGTAGGCCCATTTCCTGAAGGCCTGTATCCTATGTTGATCCAGGACCTGCCATGATAGGGCTTCTGTAATCATATGCAGGACTCTGGACCAACACTTGCTAAAGGAGGAGAATTCAGAAGACCATGAGTAAGTGGTCTTACTCATGGCAGGGAGCAATGGTCTGGAATTGGACTCAGGACAAATTGTAGTTCAAAATAGTAGTATCTGACCTAGAAGAACACTCAAACAGGGTGTGGTGGGCGTTGTGCACAGGAAAACCTGCACTGAGGCTGGAAAAACGGTTTACAGGTTCTATTATCTTCCCCAGTGGCTAATGCGACCCCCACCATGTGTTTTTCCCTGGACCTGAACAGGCGTTCCATGCTGGTATCAGTGAGGAGTAAGGAGGAAAGCTTCCTCTCAGGGTCAGGATGGCTCCATAGCCCACTGATAGGAATGGTTTTAGAGGAAGATGGGAACACAGGGACTAAGGATGAAATTGATACTTTTCTGGCCTGAAGCACAATATTTAAAGCATTGTGTATGACATTAAAACCACAGCCTGTGTGGAGTATTGTCAGTGTTCCAGCAAGCAAAACCAGGAATAAATTTTTAAAAAGTACAGGCTGGGCAACAGCCTGAATAGTCTATCTTTGGACAAATTCCCAAGTCCTCTGTGCCAGAGTCTGCTTCCCAATAAGTGATCAGAATAGTGAGATCATTATCCCTAACTAAAGTAATCTGAGGGATTTCTAAGCATGTATACCACAAAGCTGATCTATAAATAATACCATTGCTGTTTTCTTTTTTGAGAGTAAAACATCCATAGCAGCCATGATCCCAACCTGTCTGCACTGAAACACTCCACCCCTAGGAATTCTAGGGTAAATTATCTCATATATTAATCTACCAAGTTTGTTAGGTTAGTAGAGTCTTACAGAAGAGGAAGGCTGAAGCCTTGGTAGGCTAAGGAAATCATAGCAGAGATACACACGTCCAGCCCAGCATTGACTGAGAACAGGCTGTAGGCCAGAGGAAGGCTGCAGGAAACAGGTGTTCAGAGGAAGGACTAGCTGAGTGTCTGAAACCCACTAGGGGTTGTGGCATCCCTGGGCCATAGCAAAATGCTGAAGTAAAGCAGTTACTCCCCTGGTCTTTGGAACCATTGTTCTCAGTAGGGTAGCATTTGTGATATGGCATCCATTCTAGGAAGCCTGGACCACATGGAGGCAGGCACCACCAATGGCAGGAGCATGGCTAAAATGTGGTATGTGTATTGGTTAGCCTTTTCTCACTGTGACAATACTTGAGGAAAATAACTTAGAAAAGAAATCATGGATTTTGGCTCTGGGTCTCATTGCTCTCCATTTGATTATGCACTGAGTCTGTCTATAATGACATAAGTGTATGGCAGTGGAAAGTTACTCAGCCTCTTGCCAATCAGGGCATAGATTAGGAGAGAGAGAATGAGGGTGATAGAGGGAGGGAAAGAAAGATAGGAGGATGAGGAATACTACTAGGAGAATGAAGATTAAGGGGAGCCAACTGGGAAAATATACACCTACCAAAGGCTCTCTTCTGTGCAGGTCTTTCTTCAACCATGCCCAAACTAGCTGCAGTTCATACCACCTCCCAGTATTGTATTCATCTTGAATGAGTATTTCATGATAACATCAGAGCACTCACCATCGAATGCTTCCCCCAAAACTGACCTATGATCATTGCTGAATTGGGGACCAGTCACTCAACATTTGAGCCTTTTGCAGGAGATTCTGGATGCAAACCCTTGCAGTGTCCTATGGCAGATACAAGAGGAACTGAAATGTTCTGCCAAAGCAGCAGATATTATGTCTGTTGAAGTCATTTTTTCCTCAGGAAGAACTATTGAGGACATCTTTGTAGGTATTGGAGCTGAATTGGTGAACTCGCAGGTCTGTGGATCATGCCTTTCCTGACAGAGGCTCTCAGATGTTGGGAGTGTCCTGTGGTGCATCTGTTGAAAGCCACCTAATACCTGTATTCTCCTCTCTCCCCAGAGCTGAAGATTCCCCATGATGCAAATATCTTTTATTCCCTGAATCCTTGAGTCAAGTATGACTTTGTACTGAGGAAGAAGATCTTCCCAAGTAAGAAGAACAATGAGTGGATCCAGCCCAAACCTCCCCCTCATGATGCAACAGAGGCTCAAAATCACCACAGGAACCTTAAAAGAACATTTTGCAGCTCTCCGACTGGGTAGTACTGAAGCATCACATGATCGTTGGCATTTATTTCTTTAAATATGTGCTCCAAAATTTTGCAGTTACCCATCTATAATTTGCCAGTAGATCCTTGTTATTTATACCACTTAGTAAGACATTTATTATTATAGCAAAACTTTATTGTTTAGTTTTAGCATTTAAAATATAAATGTTTTCCTTTGTAATCTGTAATAATTTTAGCAGCAATTTCTAGAGGAAACAAACAAAAAGGAAGAAATGTTTCATTTGATCAACTAGAAATTTTATTAGGGTTATGGCAGATTATATATCTGAGTAAATTTTCCAGTGGGAGTAATTAAATACTGGATTTCATGGAACACATACACAAACCCATCCACCTACACCCCATGCACTTAGATTGCATGATTGAATAGATTCAATGTCTATGCTGAAATGTTTGGGAGAAGGGTTTCAAATTCTCAGATTTTGAAATGTTTTCAATTACATAAGTTACCTTGGGAATGAAACTCAATTCTAAACAAGAAATGCATGAGTACTTTACACACACCTTTACACATATCCTGAAGTTAGTATTATATGCAATATATTTAGTGCACCTGTATTCTGACTGTGACCATACTTGGAGGTCAGATGTGTAATTTTCTACTTGTAGCATCACAATGGGTCTCCAATGTTTTGATTTTGGAATATTGCAGATTTTTATTTTTTAGATAAGGAATGATATATACCATACATATGTCTTTTTATTTATACATGTAATGATAATGAATGTCATGCGTTTAGGAATCTGTAGACTGTAGAAAATGAATAAATGCCTACTGTTGCCTGGACTTGTCTGCAGAATCCTATAGAGTCTGAGCATCTAAAAACCTAGTCATTGAAGGATTTTTATGGCATGGAACAAATTTAAAGGGGTATTAAAGAATAGAACTATTTTTTTTTTCTGACTCATGGAGCAGGACTCACAGTTGTTCAAGATTTTATGGGTTACTAATCTTTGATAATTCTGTTATTTGTTAATATATTTAATGCAGTTAATTGTAGTTGAAAACTACCCATTTGAAATATATTAATTAGCATTGTTTCTGTAAATATAAACTGACTGTAAATATAAACCATTTTTGATAACTACAAGGAAGACAAGATTTCCAAATTTTCAAACTTGAAATTGGGCATTGTCCTTGAAACTGTTAGTCCCTGAGTTTGAATGAAGGAGTTAGAAAATTTTCAATTTTCCACAGTATATAAAAAATTACACACTTAAAATAATGTATATTTGCTTAAACTATCTACAAATTGGAATTTTGTAAGCAGTCATTCAATTTTTTTAATTGATAGACTACATGTTTATGAAAACTAGAAAGTGTTTTCATGGGATAAAATAGTATCAGTTAATTTATAATGTCTATATTCTTGTTTGATATCTTGCTCCATTTCAGTGTTACCAAGCTTAAATTCAAAATATCAATGAAACAAACACACTGTCTATAGAACAAACCCTGTTAAAGATTTCTTTAATATTTCTTATTTGTGATAGGTTCTCTTATTTTAATCACCATTAAAGAATAATTAGTTATGCATTTTTACCATTATGTAATAAAAATTAAATGCACAATACCAGGAAAATGTGTTTACAAATTAAGCATTTGCATATATCAGTATAGTTAGCATAATGAAAAGACAGGTCTTTTCTAAATGGCTTCATTTTCATTAGCAGGCATTATTAGTGTGTATAGAAGTATTATATGCATATTTGTCCATCTTCATCTTTATGCTTTAAAAGTTCATGATATTAAGACATTTGTAGCATAATAAATAATGTACAACTTAGTCTTGTATTTACTCCTTTTCAATTCTTAGTCTTCCAATGAATGTATCATAATAATTTTTAGGTTTCTAATAACAAAATATCATAGTCATTAATTGGTTGGACATTATTTCTCAATAGAGCAAATCTTGTTTCTATAATAAGAATTTGGCCAAAAAAAATGAATTCAAAATTTATTTCAATATATTATTCTTCTGACACATAGCAAAAAATTTCTTAAGAAATGAAAATGGTTATTAACTACAAGTTATAATAATTTTGTATTTTCAGAATATTACTCTCTGAAAAAAGCATATACAAGAAGTATAAAGTGAGATGGAAGGCACGGCGCTCGGCACAGGTGGAAGGTGGAGCTGCGTGGTGCTTGGTGCAGAACACAGAGGCTTTGCTTGCGGGTCACCAGACCTAGCTCTGGACAAAGCACAAGGTCACCCCAGTATCCCCCACCTCACCAAATACCCTATGCGGGAAACAGACGGAATCCATTTTGGAAAACCTTACTCCCCATCTATCGGTGAGCGTGGCTACCAGCGTGGTTCTGTGGCTGATCAGGTACCTGGTTTCCAACTCCCCAACCCCAGCTGTGATAACTCAAAATTTTTCCCACAAGCTTTTTTTTTTTTTTGGGGGGGGGCGGTGCGTAACTATCAATATGTAACAGCAACTGTACAGGCACTTGGTTTCCAACTCAGAGACTAAGAGTAAGGAGGCTCCAGGTAGAAGCTCAAGCCCTCTCACACTGGCTACCTCCACCATCCTGAACGCAGAGACTCAAGCCAGGAATAGACAACTCCACCTACTGCAAGAAAAGAAAACAGAGTTCTGAGACTTTTCTTTCTTTCTTTTATTTTTTTGCTCTTCTCATCCAATCTCCTTTACTCTTCAACCTCTGGTCCTCACAACCTCAACATTTGTGAAACCAAGAACTTTGCATGAAATAGGACTTTAACAACTTAATCACCAGAATAATATAATATAGAGGAATTGCATATGCCCCACTTCCCCCCCTTTTTCTTCTTCTTATTTTCTTTCTCCCACTCACTTTTTTTTCTTTCTGTCCTTGTTATTTTTTTCTTCCTCCCCCTATCCCACTTTCAACCTCCTAACTTTTACTATTTATATGTAGGGTGATTTTCTAAATACAGATAGGAGTTTGTATACATTCTTCTGTAAATTACCCCTGTCTATTCGTTAGAGTTCTCCAAAGTTGCTAAGTTAGATTAACCCCATACTGTCACTCCTTTCCCCCTTAATATAATGTCCTATGCCTGACCCTCGGTTTTCCATATGCCACCAGAAATGGCATGCCTTTTATGAAACTAATGACTATATTTTAAATAATAATTGAAGCCAACATCTGTAGAAATAGAGTCTAACTATAAATGTATTAATAATGAAAACTTGCTCATAGATGATGTCCTATTGATATTGGGAACTGTTAACATTATCTACGCTAAGCCTCAGGCCAGCATCATTTCTAAATGGAGAAAAACTGAAGGCATTCTCTCTAAAATCTGGAACAAGACAGGGATGCCCTCTCTCATCACTTCTGTTCAACATAGTTATTGAAACACTGGCCAGAGCAATTAGACAGACAAAAGAAATTAAAGGAATAACTATAGGAAAAGAAGAATTTAAACTAGCACTATTTGCTGATGATATGATTCTATACCTAGAAGACCCCAAAAAACGGACACCTAGGTGATTGCATAACTTAACTGTTATAACTTTTGATGCTATAAACATGGGATGAATGTATCATTATAGTACACTGTCTTTAATTTTTTTTTTTTTTTTGGTTTAACACTGAGGAGTGGTATGTCTGGATCATATGGTGGTTCCATTACTAATCCTTGGAGGAACCTCCATATTGTTTTCTATGTTGGTTGCATTAATTTACAATTTCACAAAGAATATATATGAGTTCTGTTATCAACATAATAAATGTATCATTACCAGCAATTTTTATTATTTGTATTCTTTTTTTTTCTAAATAAAAAAATTTTCTTCCTCACAACATCATACATGTATTCTGTATAATGATGAGGGTTTCGTTCTATCTTCCTTGCAACTCTCCTTCTCCCTCCTTTTCCCTCCCACCTCTCTTCCCTATTTAGTGGTAATCTTCTTCTCATGCTCTTCCTCCCTATCCCATTTTGAGTCACCCCCCCCCCCCTTATATCAGAGAAGACATTCGGCATTTGTTTTTTAGGGATTGGCTAACTTCACTTAGCATAATCTGCTCTAATGCCATCCATTTCCCTGCAAATGCCATGACCTTGTTATTTTTTAGTGCTGAGTAATATTCCATTGTGTATAAATGCCACATTTTTTAAATCCATTCATCTATTGAAGGGCATCTAGGTTGGTTCCACAGTCTAGCTATTGTGAATTGTGCTGCTATAAACATTGATGTGGCTGTGTCCCTGTAGTATGCTCTTCTTAGGTCTTTTGGGTATAGTCCGAGAAGGGGAATAGCTGGGTCAAATGGTGGTTCCATTCCCAGCTTTCCAAGGAATCTCCATACTGCTTTCCAAATTGGCTGCACCAATTTGCAGTCCCACCAGCAATGTATGAGTGTACCTTCCCCACCCCCCCCACCCCTGCATCCTCGCCAGCACTTATTGTTGTTTGACTTCATAATGGCTGCCTTTCTGACTGGAGTGAGATGGTATCTTAGGGTGGTTTTGATTTGCATTTCTCTGACTGCTAGAGATGGTGAGCATTTTTTCATGTATTTGTTAATTGATTGTATGTCCTCCTCTGAGAAGTTTCTGTCCAAGTCCTTGGCCCATTTGTTGATTGGGTTATCTGCTTTTTTGTTGTTTAACTTTTTGAGTTCTTTGTATACTCTAGAGATTAGAGCTCTATCTGATGTTTGAGGGGTAAAAATTGGTTCCCAGGATGTAGGCTCCCTATTCACCTCGCATATTATTTCTCTTGCTGAGAAAAAACTTTTTCAGTTTGAATTCATCCCATTTGTTGATTCTTGGTTTTAACTCTTGTGCTATAGGAGTCTTATTAAGGAATTTGGGGCCTGCCCCCACGAGATGAAGATGAGGACCAACTTTATCTTCTATTAGACGCAGAGTCTCTGGTCTGATTCCTCAGTCGGCCATCTTGAAAGGTAAAGAAACACGCTCCCCCGTGGGAAGCAGCCCCTCATCCCTGGAGCCACCATCCCACCTGGGGTTTCTGACAGGAAGAAGCCCAGAGCCCCCACCTCTGCCAGCTGTCAGTAGTTTGGACACCTGGGAGCTCCAGGTCCAGGGGTAGCTCCATTCCCACCATTGATAGCAGGCCCCCCAGCCTGGGCAGCCCAACCCACTCAGCCCTTGGTGCTGACAGACGTAGAAATCCCACCGTGGGGGCCCGTGCCAGCACCCACACACATTCTGCTGGCAGCCAGGCTGCAAGTCCACTGGAGCAACTAGTCCATCAGCCTCTGCAGCTGCTACTCAGAGGCCAGGGCCTGGGACCAGTGTTTGTCCCAAGAACAGGCAGTCCCAGTCAGCATGGGACAACCAAGTTTCATCCCCCTTAATGCTGCCAGTGTCAGTTGCCTCAATTGCAACTTGGAGGACAGATTTGTCCCCAGTTCTTCCATCTCCCATGGCAGAAATGGGCATCTGCTAAAAAAGTAGAGGGACCCCCCAAACCAGAGAACACCATGGGGCAAGCTTGGGACAGAACAGCTCCAGTGGCTGCCCCTAGGCAGAGCACCACCATGAGGACCAAGGGAGAGAAGGCAAAATACAAACCAGGGCAAGCAACCACTGATGTTTGTGCAATTCATGCCATCCCCCAAAGCCTGACCGTGCAGAACCCCTGAAGCTCTCCTGGGAGGAACCATCACCACCCTCGGAAAGGCCACCTCAACTTGTAAGTTTGTCCCCATGCAATCCAGGAACCTGGGAGCCCAAACTAGCTCCCGGATCTCATATCTGTCTTTGGGGTTCTGTTCATCTCCTCCCCAAGTGAAGGAAAGAGAAGCATGAGACAGCATTTACAGGGTAAATGGGGCTTTCGACATATTCAGCGCCACTAACTAGACCATCCCTATAGTGGTCACTTTACAGGGGACAAAAACCAACTCTGTTCTTGGAGCCACGAGGGCCACTCCTTTAAGTGCCAAAAGGCGCCCCCTTACAGGAACCCTGAATTCCACCTCGGAGCATCAATACCTCCATGAACCAGGCTGCATAGATTTACAGAGGGAATCATATCACCCATTTCCCTGGTGGTAAAGGTGAGGCTCTGGGAAAGGACATGAATTATGAGTTAGTCAAGGTCCTGCCTGGAAGAGCTGGGACTGGAATTCTGGAAATCTGGCTCCAGAGCCTCATGTGCAGAACCCTGCAGGGGAGGCCTGATGCTGGGAGCTTGGAAGGGGGGGACCCATCAAGTTGGGGTGGGGGGCTCAGAGAAGAATGAAGAGATGGGTGTGGCTGGGGAATTCGTCCAGAGGGGGAGACCAATAGGAGAGGGAGGGGATCGAGTGAGGGGACTGCATGAGCAAGGCCAGGCAGCGGGAGTGTGTGGGTCAGGCAGAGGAATGACCTGTGAGCAGCTGGGGGTGCAGGGACGGAGGGGGACAGGATTCAGAAGGAAAAGAAGGTTGGGCCACACCATGGAAAGAGCCAGGTCTGGCAGGGAGACACCACCCCTCCCTGCTCCATCCTCCAACTGTCTTTGAGTCTGTGCCTTGAACTTCCCCAAACCCTCCCTTCTCACCACCTCCACTGGCCCTATTCCACCCCTCCCAGCTCTCACCTCCTCCCTGCCTCGCCCATAACAAGACAAAAAGCTCAAAGCTGCTGGCCATTTCCATGTAGTTCTTTTCCCTGCACCTTGTCCCCACATCTGTCTTAACTTGAACTCCAGGTCGGCTCTGTAGGGGCAGTGGTGGGTGACACACAGGATCTCCCTGCTTTAGAGCTGGAGAAACTGAGGCCCAGAGAAGTAATTTCTACTTCTATTTCAGATCTTGGGCCATCACCCCCTTGAGGAAGCCCTCCCTGCACTCTCTACTACCCTGTCAGGCCTGGTTTTTGGTTATTTGTTCTCAGAGGACCAAGGATTTTTGCTGTAGAGAACTGGCCTCAGGTTGTCACTGTCTATTCATTCACATGGATTAGTTTATGTCTTTCTATGTCACTTGGCATGCAGGGGACACTGGAGAAACACTGAGCGACTGAATGACAGTTTGGGTTCTTGTGACAAGTAACAAGAAGAGGTGTTAGTAGAACATGGATGGGGCACCACATCGTCCCCACTTGGGGTATAAAAAGTCTAGGAAGCTTCTATAAGGGGGTGATGACCTGGTTGGAGCTTGAAACCTGAGTTGCTGGTAGCAGCTGGAACATGCAGGATGGTACCTGGCAGGAGGTGAGCCCCTGGCTCCTGTCACCTTCAGGAATCTGGGTTCAAGGTCCAGTGGTCTAGGTAGCTGGGAATGTGGGCCTGTGAAGGCCTCTGCCCCAGCTCCATACCCCAGGTGACCTTGAGGCAGGCAGGGTGGCACACCCTTCCTCTGCTCACTCCCCTTTGTCCAGTGGTAGCCAAGGGGCATCTGACTCACCTCCTCTTTGCCCCACTTCCCCACAGTGAGATTTATTTTAAAGTTACCTGAAAATCCCTCCAGCCTTCCTGATTCAGCCACCCTGTCCTCTGTGATTCTCTTGTGAAGGTCAACTGAGGGTCCCTGAAGGACTGCAGCCCATGCACCTCACTGGCTCAGCTCACCCACCCCACCCTGTGGCTCTCCACTCTCCCCCACCAGGTGGCAGAGGCTTCTGGAGGTCTTCCCACCAGGAGTCTAGAACAGGCTTATTTATGTAGAATAAAAAAATTACGTATTTCATCCCATTTTCCTGGTCTTTGACAAAACAATTCTATTTGCATAAGACTAATAATTCAGTGACCTCCTTAAAGGCCATTTTTCTCTTGATTCTGGCCCATACAGAGGCCATGCTCTGTTAGAGTGGGAAAATAATTTTTTCTTGGTCACAGATTTATAGCTATAAGCAGAGCACTCTGTGAAAATTCTTTCTAGTGAGTAGTCTGGGCTTAATATTTCCTATACTTACATATTATGAAGGAGACCTTCCAAACATTGTGGTTCTTCTGTGCACCTCATATCCCTTCTCATTATCTGGACCACAAGCCAATTTCAAATTTCCCCATCCAAGCAAATGGCCTAAGGACAGAGAACTCCCAGATGCTCAAACAACAAGGAAACCAGAGAGCCAGGACAGGGCCTCTGTAGTAGTGAGGAGCCTGACCAGAGAGCCAAGTAAAATGAAAGCCTCCTGCTACCCAACTCTGAGGGCAAAGCTGCCAGGAAGTGAGAGGGAAGGGGACATCATGTCTCTGAGCCTCCACTTTGCCCCAGGATCACAGAGGTCAGGGTGAGACCTGTGCTATGCATCTAAGCAGTCTGCCACCAGGTCCCATGTGGGAGAAGGTGGATGTCATCTTAGCAAAAGAGTTTTCTCTTGGACCCCACAGGAGTGGGTCCTGACCTGGAAGAGGATGGTCTGGTGGCTGGTCCAGCTGAGCTGCCAGGTTGAGAGGCCAGCACAGATGTGCACCTAGATGCAGCCTTGCTCATGGTGGTGCTGGTGCCCCGAGGCAAACTTGGGCATTTCTGCTTGGGTGGGCCCTTTGGGGATGGCACTGAAAGGAGGGGCCTAGGTGGCTCCAAGATCATGGTTGCTGTTTGTCCTGTGTAACTTGGTCACCATGGAAATACTCTGGTGGTGGGGGCCACAGAGAGTCAGGCCCAAGCTTGCCTCATAGGTCTGTCTGGTGCTCGAGGGTCCCTCCTCTTAGAAAGGAGATGCTCATTACCCACAGGCTGCTCCCAGGTTCTCTGCTCTCAGGTTCCACTGAGGACACTGCCAAGGGCATAGTCATGCAAGTTGGTCTTTCTGGGGTGGTGCTGGCCCCTCGATTTCTGCTTGGGTGGCCTTTGTGTCAAGCATTAAATGGAGGGGCATTGGTGACTCCCTGCTCATGTTTGCTGCTTGTCTTTTGTCCCTTGGTCACTGGAGGTATTCTGGTTAGAGGTGCTGCAGGTTTTCATGCTCCAGGCTTGCTGTCTGGGCTTGGAGTTTCTCTTCTTTTGGAGCAGATGCTCAGTGCTCCAAAGGCCAGTATCACATCTGGAGGGAGGTCTGTAGTCGTAGAAGCCAGTGATTCCACAGCATGGACTTTCAAGTGCAGGTGGCCTTTCTGGAAATGGTATTGGTCCCCTGCATTGATCGTAGGGGTTTCTGCTTCGGATGACTTTGGAGATGGCAGTAAAATTAGAAGCACCCATAGCTAGGGTGTCTTAGCAGGTCCTAAGCTGGACCCATGGTGCCCAAGTCCTGGAAAGTCCCACAAAGGAGAATAAGCCAGGGCAGTCCCTGCCAGAACCTGGACTCTCCAGCCTTTGAACCCAAAGGTGCAGGATGCCAGCCTTGCCTGCCTTGAGTGTAGTAGTTGTCAAGTGCTTCACAGTCGTTGCACAGGAGCATTGCTGGCACAGTCAGGCATTTCATTGAGATGAATCCAAACCAGGGGAACAGGTTTTTGAGCAGTATTGGATGTGGGAATATATAATGTGATTGGCTTTCTAGAAGGTAACCTCATCGCCATGGTTCCTGATGGGCACTGCTGAAAATACAGAACCATCCGGAGGACTGAAAATTTGATGAGTCATTCATTTATTTATTTTTATACCAGATATTGAACCTGGGGTTCTTAACCACTAAGACACATCCTCAGACTTTTTTTTTTAAATATGTTTATTTAGAGACAGAGTCTAACTAAGTTGCTTCAGACCTCTCTAGCTTGCTGAGGCTAGTTTTGAACTCCATATTTTCCTGTCCCATCTTCCCCAATGCTTGGACTACGGGTGTGTGCCTCCAAGCCCTGCTGGGCCTTTCATTTTGGCCAGATCTGAGCCTCTTAGTACTTTTGTTAGGAAATGGCCAGGAGGAGGGAGAGTGGATCTTAAATGGATGGTTTGTTATTGTAAAGGGCTGGGGATTATAGTTTGAATTAATCTAACAGTCTTCTTAATATTGTCCTGAGCATTGAATTTACCCATATTGACCCTACCTCTCCCCCTGCCCAATGCCACTGTGGATCACTGAGGGTTCTCTATGGTCCGAGTTCAGCCACAACCCTTTTCTTGGTTACTTCTCATAATGACACACCCATGAACTGCATATCTTGACTGGTAACTAAAGCTTTCGTTGGTGGTGCTTTCAAATATGAAACTATAAATTTGTTATCAAGTGACTTGTCTAGAAATCATTTTCTTCCAAATTGTTCCAAAGAGGTCAGACTGGAAGAGGACCTAGTCACTGGCCAGGCTGACCTTCTTCAGGTGTTCCAGACCCTCAGTGATTTCCATCAGTTCCCCCTCTTTGTAAAATCATGCAATAGACTTGTGTTTGGGGAAGCAGCAGGCTTAGGATTGAAGCAGGAGTTCAATAGAGGTTTTCAGCAGGAGGCTATGATAGGAGTCCTCAGTGCTTCCCCAGTGAGCTTGCCTTTTAATAGCAGGTAACCCTGAGAATGGGACAGCTATCAACAACTAATAGATATCAGTACTCACATGAAACAGCTGATGTGCTGTGTTCACCAGCCTATTCTTCTTCTTTTTTTTTTTTTTGATATTGTTTTTTAGTTGTCAATGGACCTTTATTTTATTTATTTATATGTGGTGCTGAAAATTGAGCCCAGTGCCTCACACATGCTAGGCAAGCACTCTACCACTGACCCAAACCCCAGCACCATCAGCCTATTCTTTAAGAAGAAAGGATGTTCATAACCTGTTAGTGTCAAGAAAGCCAAAGGAGCACATGTACTAGTCTCTGGGGAGTAGTAGCCTTCTAGGGCAGGCTCCCTGACTGTGTGTTAATTAAGTGTCCTGGTCCATGTGGGCAAGATGAAAGTCAACCTCAGTGTGAACTGGGAAGCGCAGAGCTGATGACCAAAGAGAGCTGTTCTTTGACATTGCATTTCCTTCATCTATCGTGTTTAGCATGAGGAAGATTTTTTTTTTCCTTGTGGAAATTGAGTTAATAGGTGGTAAATAAATATCTTAGTTGCTTCTGATGTGGCTGAGGAGCACTTTCAAGTGTTTAAAAAACTGGTTTCTGTATATCATTCTATAGCTAATTGCAATTCTTATGAAACCTTCTCATAGGCTGTTTCTGGTTTTATTGGGATTTTTTTCAGCTGCATTGTGAATTGGATGAAGGACATTTTCCCTTCTTATAAATGGTTTTGTGGAATTTTGAGATTTGGGTTTTTATTCACATTTGAAGGGAATAAATCAACCAGCCTTAAGAACATGACATCTTTCTGATGGATAGAAGCAATTCAAGGAAGAATAAGGATGATGTCTTTTAGAAATGCTATAGGAATATTTGTTTGGGGGTCAATAAATAACATGCTTAGAGTTTAATAAATATTTTGTTATGTCATCGTAGTTTCTACATTTTTGTATTCTAGTAGAATTTTATCTAGTTTTAATATTTGTTTTTGAGCAGACATCTTTATCTTGAGAGATATCATTTAGTGTTACTTTTCAAAATTTGCAGCTGTGTAAATCCAGATGCTTGGTGAAGCTGCTCTAGTGTGAGGAAAGCCTCTCCTGTTAGGCCAGGAGCCTGTAAGGCACCATCAGCACATATGAAACCTGCTATGTATTATAAGCAACAGGAAATAGCACAGAAGCTGCAAGTGCATTTAGGTCATTTGGAAGTTGAATTCTTGTCATATCTTTACTTTGCTTAACATATCTTCTCCCCTTTAGTTCTTTCTTATAGTAATTTGAAGCTGATGAATTTACTGGTATTTTCAGGAGAGCATATACAATTAAAATATTTTTCAATTCAGTATCAGTTCAAAGAACTTAGCATCACCTGCCTCTCACCTTTGGTGGGAAGGTAATGAGCAGCCACTTAGCTCTGTGTGCACAAGGATGATGGTCCTGAGTCTCCTGGGATGGCTAGCTAAATCTGGAAGTTCCTTAGGAGATGGAAAGACATCAGCTCCTCATGTTCCATTCAACAGTGAGCACAGGGCGCTCAGTGAACATGCATTAGGTTTGTGAGTGTTCCCTGCAGGGTCTGGTCTCCTATTCCCTTTCCAGACCTCAAAGCTGAATTGTCTGTCCTTCTCTCTGCTCCAGTAGCCTCAGCTATTGAGTACTATTGCCTCTGAGATGCTTCTTTGTTCATACTACTGGGATCTTGCCTCCAAAGTTTAGTTGGAAGAATAGGAGGAAACTGTTGCTTTAAACTGCACACAAAACAAAAGGAAGTGGCTTTGCCTTTCCCTAAAGACATGGAGATAGAGAAGTCCGTTTCCGTGGTCATGGCCATGCTATGGAACAAATTCTTGGCCATTCCACACCATCCTTGCTTCTTATATGTTTTGTGCATCAGTGAATTTTTTAGCCCTAGCATTTTCACCTATGGGAGGCGTGTAGAAACGGAGGCACAGAAATGCCACCTCCTTGCCATTTCATGGGGTCCTCAGGTCTCTGCCTGCTGCCCCACCAACTTTCCCCACAAACCTCTGGAATTTCAGCAGTGCCCTCTGCTGTGGGCCTGTGGAGCCAGACTAAGTTAGACTTCCCGTGACTCAAACTTGGAAGTGATACCCCATGAGGCTTGTTGATTTCTGTTTCTTAGAAACCAGATGCTGATGTGGATCCACTGAGAGAGGAGGGAGCTACAGGCTTTGGGCACAGGATGCTGTGGTGTTTGAAATCCCCTGTAGTGTACCCCATCATACGATCGGAAGAGACATTGGGGCAATTTGATTTCGCACAGGAATTAGAATTCTATGGCAAAGGGGAGGCTATCTCTGAAAATAACCCTCCAGTGGTGCAGAGTGGGGACCATGGCCAAGAGAGGAGCTGACTTTCCCTCTGTCACTGTGGGACTCAGGTCATGGTAAAGTTGGATGTCATCCTTTGTCCCTTAACTTCCTATGTCATGTTATCTGTATATTTGTGCATTAGAGACACATGACTCCTGGATTAGGGTTTCTCAGGGAGTCCATGTATGTGTGGGCACATGTCCCTGATGACAACCTCTAAAGCAGATGCTAGAATGACCCCTGGGAACATGTTGAGAAGCTATGGAGGCCCTGCAAGGCACAATGACTTCCTCAGGGCCACACACATACCCACAAGAAGGGGAAGGGTCTCAACCAAGCTCTGTCTCCCCAAACCAAGGGAGCTGGCTACACCCGGGCCTGTCTGAGGGCCTGATCCAGGGTGTGTTGGTGTAACTGGGTCCACCTGTGCCTATGTCATGGGAAGACTGCAGCCCAGTGGGCCATTGGAACCATCTTGTGTAAGAAAGGGGCTCAGCAAAGGACTTCCTGAGACAGTGACCTCACTTCCTTGGCCATGGAACTCACAGAACTTGGAACCCTGGTAGCTAGGCACTCACAGTCCACAAACAGTCCCAGTCTGCTCACTGGTGTTGAGACAGCAAGCCCAGAGCCATGAGTTCTTGTTGTCTACAGATCTGTGGGTGCTTAAGCCTCAGGGCTTTTCCTGAGTGTGGAGGTGCTGGGTCAGCGCTGTGTCCCAACGACTCTGGCAATTTTTCCCAAGGAGACCAGAAGTGAGACAGGACAGGGCACCACAGGTGTCCATAGTTTAACCCACATTCAGATTCCCCTTTCAAAAGTGCCAGATCTCACCAGGTTTGTGTCTGTGTGTATGTGTGTGTGTGTGTGTGTGTGTGTGTGTGTGTGTGATGTCTCCTGAGAATATGGAGGGAAAATATTTTGATTTCCCCTGATGTATGGCAGTGATTCCTTTTGCAAATGGCTACCGTTTTCCTGTTGAAATGTCCCTCTTTGATTGCCCATCCTAGGGAGAAGAGGACCAAGGCTCATCAGTGGATGTGTCCTGTCTTGTGGAAACCCTGACATACTTCTCTGGGAGCTCGAGGATGGCCTGGTGCCTGCCCTGCAGCAGGGGAACACCCCCTGTGTCCATGGGGTTTTGTATTTGTACCAGGATTTGGCCAGTACCCAGAAGGCTCTGGAGCTGCTGGGTAAAAGGTGTGTATGACCTCCAAGCCCTGGCCCATGGCCATCTCCTGGCCTGGTGTTGGGAATGCCGGGCATCACTCTGAACCTCCGTCAGCTCTGAGGAAAGTAGGGTTTTTCAGAGGAGAACTCTGCCTGGGTGTTTAGAAATCCAAGTAGGATGAGCCCTAGGAGTGTTTGCCTCATAGTGGTCCTGGGACACAGGCTGGCGATGGCTCTGGCCTTTCCCTTGGGGCCTGTCCCCTCCCTGAGAGGAAGTTCTCTGCCTCAGACCTCACTCTTCTGAGGCCTCAGGAAAAGCAGTTTCCACATTTGGGAAGGAGTCTGTGGGTTGCATCTGGGAGGGTTCCAACCTGCCTGTAGACAGAACAGGGACCCCTGGGGTCAACTGAGAGGGTCCTGGCCCTGAGGTAGCCAGGCAGCAGGTGGTTGGGTTCATTCATGGCTCAAATATATATGAAGCACCTACCTTTGGCAGGCACTTGGCCTATCATTTAGGAATCCGTGCAGACAAACTCTCCCAGCCCTCCTGAGCTCCCGTTATTGTCAGTAAGTTAGTCAAGTCCACCAGGCATCTCGACAGATGAGGGACACAGGATATTAGAGGTCACAGCCTCCTGGTATTCTCTAGGTATGGACGCCTCCAGCCATATGTTGAGGAGGAGTACCTTCAAGACAAGAAGTGAGTGGTCTTTGGGCCAAGAGGGAGGGCTGCTGTCTCGAGAGTGGTCACTGGGGGGGCTGTTGTAGAGGATGGCTGGGCAGACCTCAGGGTCTACCCTGTTGTTTCCCAGCAGAGGACAGAGGTCTGGGGCTTACTCTGTAGAAGGAACAAAGCAAGCTGTGGTGGGATTCTGGGTACCCAAGGAAGAGAGGCGTGGCTGGAGCCCAGAGCCAGGCCCCGTGAGGATCCCTCTCCAGCACAGCCAATCCCAGCTGGATTGCCCATGCTTTTTTGTATAGAGACTGGAGAGAAAGTGAGGGGAGAATCCTACCCACACATGTGCCTCACAGTTTTGCCCCCTTTGCTCTGCTGCATGTGACCTGCTTGGACACTCTCTGGGAAGCTCCCCATGCAGGGGACCTTGGGAGGTTCCAGCTGAAGGAGAGGCCCTTTACATCATTATCTTCCAGTTGGTACAGTTGGTGACCCAAGCTGCCATCCCATTCTTTCAAAGTCAGCCATCTTCCCTGGCAGCTACATAAAATTCACACACACACACAAATGCCAGAGGCAGGGGGTCAAGAAACGATTAGACCAGAAGCCTCCACTTCTCCTAGAATGTTTTCTCGCTGCCCTAGTTCTAAAGTCCTTGAGGGCACCTCCCACGTGTGAGCACCTGTGCATTGTGCCAGATGCCCCACCACAGCTATCCGCCTCCTCCCACTAAAACTGTCTATTTTATTTTTTGTGATTTTTTTTTTTTTAATGTCTGGGATGGCATTGTAAGTATTTTAGTAGCAAACATTTATGTTGACACAATAGTGCTCAATCCATTCACCAGGCTGTGCCACCCCCAGCACTGAATAGCTGAAGATGGAGCCCCCTTAGAGCACAGGGGACCTGTGGGGCCCCTGTGCATGGAGCAGAGATGACTGCCTAAAGGGTGGTGAGGATTTCAGGGCATTTTATCCCCTACTTGTGTAAGAAAGGGACTCAGCAAAGGACTTCCTGAGACAGTGACCTCACTTCCTTGGCCATGGAACGTTAACTAGGTTAGATGTCATGTGACACTACAAACCCTGTTCATATAAGACAGCAAACTTAATATGTGTCTTCTTATTGCTCCACAGATCATGACTCACCTTCTTCTCATTCCCTAAGAAACAATATTGAAGTTAGACCAGTTAATTACTCTGTAATGGACTGAACAGTTGGAATAAAAGGAAGAGTTCCATGTTTTGCATTCCAAATAGAAAGCTGTGCCTTGGCTGGGCTGTAGCTCAGTGGCAGAGTGCTTGCCTAGAATGTATGAGGCACTGAGTTCAATCCTTAGCACTACAAAAAAAAAAAAAAAAAAAAAAAAAAAAAAAAAAAAAAAAAAACAACTAAACAAAGAAAGGCATGCTGTTGATCTAAAACTATTTAAAAGAGAAAGAAAGAAAGAAAGAAAGAAAGAAAGAAAGAAAGAAAGAAAGAAAGAAAGAAAGAAAAGAAAGAAAGAAAAGAAAAAAAAGCTGTGCCTCTTGAATAGTTAGTCCCAATGAGAATGCAAGGGAAATGTTCATAAAGAAAATTAAAGTGCTGCTCCAGGGCATATGTGAATGATAAGAAAGCAAAACAGCTGATAGGGATAAAGTTTTCATAGTCTGGAGAACAGATGAAACAAACCACATTCCCTTAAGCCAAAACCGCATCCAGATAAGGCCAAAACATTAGATTTTTCTGATGCCAAGAGAAGGGAGAAAGCTCCAGAAGAAGTCTGAAGGTGGCAGAATTTGGTTCATGATGTTCGAGGCAAGCGGCCCATCTCCATATAAGACAAGTGCAGGGTGAAGCAGCAAGTGCTGATGTAGAAGCTACAGCAAGTCATGAAGAAGATCTTGCTAAGCTATCTGATGAAGACGCGATATGGTTGAGTTTCTCGGTGTCCCCAAAAAGCTCATGGGTGAGACAATGCAAGAAGGTTCAGAGGGGAAATGATCCTGTTATGAGAGCCTAAAGCCAATTAGTGAATTAATCCCCTGGCAGGATGAACAGGTGGCACAGATAAAATGGGGTGCCCACACCCTCCCCAAGCCTGGAGGTGTAGGCGCCACCTATGGAGGAGTCCAGTTGAGGGTGGAAGCGAACAGCAGTCATCCTCAACGTTCCACATTAGGGTTCCACATTGGAGGTTCCCAGCAACCAGCGGCATCCCTCTGCGGGCAGGGCATTCATCAGCGAGCCTAGGCGCCCTAAGGCCCTTTGGGGAGTCCAGTTGAATCGGTGGCTGCATGGAAATAGGCGTCCAAATAGGAGCATCCTCATCCATTGGCGGTGGCGGGAGTCTGCTTCCAGTGCAGTGGAGGTGTTGGCAGCATTGCTGGTGGCCAGGTCGGGACTCCAGTGGCCACAGTGTGGAGCGCTGGCTGTGGCGACAGCGACAGCGTAGGACAGCGGGCCTCAGAGTCAGAGGGCGACCAGAGGATGGGGTGCCCTGTGCTGTGGCTTCCCCAGGCCACTTGTCTTGCTCCTGGCAGGGCCTGCCTGCTCAGGAAGCAGGACACGGCAGGCGGCGGTACCCACACAGCCTCTGAGGACCTTATGCTGCGCACGCAGGTGGCGCCTGGCACCGGCCCTGAGCCCCCCGGGTGGCAGCTCGCCCCACCCCGGGTTCACCCTGCCCCTCCCTGGGTTGCGGCCTCTGGGGGGGGAGTAGGCCCGCTGCCAGCCGGGGCAGCCTTTGGAGAGGACACCCACCCTCCCCAGCGACATCTCTCCTGGGCTGTGGCCACTGAGAGCAGAGGCAGTGGGGGGTGGGGCTACAAATCTTCCCCCTCAAAGCGCATCCCTGGAGCGGGACAAGAGTGGAGGGCATAGATGGCAGAGGGAACCCCAAGACGTGCCGTCCTTGGTCTTGGTCTTCTGCCACCCTTAGACAAGGAAATGTACTTTAAAAAAAATAATTAGCTCTAATTAGTTGTACATAACAGCAGAATTCACTTTGGTTCATTGTACAGAAATGGAGCACAGCTTTTCATTTCTCTGGTAGAACACGATGTAGAGTTGCACCATATGTGCAGTCCTGCATGTACCTAGGGTAATGATATCCCTCTCATTCCACCCTCTTTCCTACCCCATGCCAGTCCCTCCTATCCTTCCCCTTTGCCCCAAGTTCCTCCATTCTTCCCTTGCCCCCCTCATTATGGATCAGCATCCACTTATCAGGGAGAACATTCAGCCTGTTGTTTTTGAGGATTAGCTTTTTTCACTTACATAATATTCTCCAACTCCATCCACTTACCTGCAAGTGTCATAATTTTATTCTCTTTTAAAGCTAAGATTCCATTGTGCACATATACCACATTTTCTTTATCAGTTTAGCTCTTGAAGGACTTCTAGGTTGGTTCCACAGTTTACCTACTGTGACTTGAGCTGCTATAAACATTGATGTGGCTGCATCACTCTAGTATGCTGATTTTAAGTCTTTTGGGTATAGATTGAGGAGTGGAATTTCTGGGTCAAATGGAGGTTCCATTCCATGTTTTTTGAGGAAGCTCCATACTGCTTTCCAGAGTGGTTGTACCAATTTGCAATGCCACTAGCAATGTATGAGTATACCTTTCCCCCCCACATCCTCACCAACACTTATTGTTGCTTGTATTCTTGTTAACTGCCATTCTGGCTGGAGTAAGATGGTCTTAGAGTAGTTTTGATTTGCATTTCTCTAATTTCTGGTGAAGTTGAACATATTTTCATATATTTGTTGATCGACTGTGTATCTTCTTCTGTGAAGTGTCTGTCCATTTCCTTAGCCCATTTATTGATTGGGTTATTTATTCTTTGGGTGTTGAAGTTTTTGAGTTTTTTATATATCCTGGAAATTAGTGTTTTATCTAATGTGCGTGTAGTAAAGATGTTCTCCCACTCTGTGAGCTCTCTCTTCATATTATTGTTTCCTTTGCTGAGCAGAAGCTTTTAAGTTTGAATCCATCCCATTATTAATTCTTGATTTTATTTCTTAAGTACAGGGTCTCTGGTCTAATTCCTAGGTCCTTGATCTACTTTGAGTTTTGTGCAAGGTGAGAGATCGTGGTTTAATTTCAGTCTGCTACATATGGATTTACAGTTTCCCCAGCACCATTGTTGAAGAGGCTATCGTTTAGCTAATGTATGTTTTCGGCACCTTTGGCAAGAATGAGATAACTACATTTATGTGGGTTTTTCTCTGTATCTTCTATTTTGGACCATTGGTCTACATGTGTATTTTGGTGCCAATAGCATGCCGTTTTTGTTACTACAGATCTGTAGTATAGTTTAAGGTTTGATATTGTGATGTCTCCTACTTCACTCTTCTTGCTAAGGATTGCTTTGTCAATAAGGATTTCTCTGTGTCTACTTTTCCAAATGAATTTCATGATTACTTTTTCTATTTCTATGAGGAATGTTATTGGGATTTTAATTGGAATCACATTAAATCTGTATAAGGTTTTTGATAGTGTGGCCATTTTGACAATATTAATTCCATGAGGGAGGAATTGGAATCAGGTACCTGCTCAAAAGGGGACGGATCCGATAGCCACACCCACCTCAAAATGGCAAGGAATGCTTTCCAAGATGTAGTCGGTGTGCTTCCAGAGCCGGGGTGTCTGGTGATGTCAGGGGAACCAATGGCCTTGTGCTGTGGGGAGGTAGCAGCTGAGTGACCTGCGTGGGAGTGGAGCGGAGTCTCGGCGGTCTGCAGATGTGTTGGTAGGTGGTTCTGCTAAGGCGCTGGCCGAGTCTTAAGTGAACTGCAACTTTGGCTTTGGGTCCTGCTCGGACACTGAGGCCCGGAGTCCTGCGCAAGGTCACAGCGCTGGTCATTTCTGTAGAGAGAAGCTGTACAGGGGCCTCTAACACTCTCAAGAGATGCAGAATTCCTACTAGGAGAGAGATCTGGGTCACAGAGCAACACAGATGCTGCTTCCCTCTGGTCCGCCATCTTGAAAGTCTTTTCAATTTCTTTCTTTAGTTTTCATTGTATAGGTCTTTCATCTCTTTTGTTAAATTTATACCCAAATATTTCATTTTTGAGGCTATTGTGAATGGGATAGTTTTCCTAATTTCTCTTTCAGAGGGTTCATCACTAATAGATAGAAATGCATTAGATTTATGGATATTGATTTCATATCCTGTGACATTGCTGAATTTGTTAATATTAGAAGTTTTCTGGTGGAGTTTTTTTGGATCCTGTATGTGTAGAATCATGTCATCAGCAAATAGGGATAGTTTGAGTTCTTCTTCCCCTATTCCTATCTGCCGCAGTCTGGCTGGGCACAATCAGGAGCCACTTGTCAAAAGAAACTAACTTTATTTTTAGAACCACACACGCCAAACAAAACAGCCTCTCAGGAAAAACCCTCAGAGCCTCAACTGCCACCACCGGCTTTCCACAAGCCTCTCTCTCCCACACAAGCTTCTCTCCACCTCCCACAATCCTCCTGCTCTTGAGGCCGATTGGCTGGGTCACGTGGGCGGAGCCAAAAAAGTCCCCCAATGAGCAGCTCCGTGGTCTGAAAGGGCAGGGAAACAGCCCAATGAGCATCACCGCAGAGGAGCCAATCAGCTAGATGTTGCTGGGGCCGCTGTGAGCCAATCATCAGCCAGCAGCTGGAAGTTTGCTGGCAGCTGGAAGTTTGCTGGGGCCCCTTTGGCTGTGGCTCTCAACACCTATCCCTTTAATTTCTTTCATCTACAGCTCTGTTGTGTAGTCTAAGCTGTAGTGGAGTTTAAACAGCAGTATAGTTTAAACTCTGGCTAGAGTATCAGGGACTATGTAGAGTAGAAGGTGAGAGAGGGCATCCTTGTCCTGTTCCAGTTCTGAGAGGAAATGCTTCCCATCAGAAATGCACTTTGAGGATGAAGAGGTCCTAGTTCCTCTGCTCTCTCCCCCCACAGCCCAGGTGGGATGTCTCTTAGGAAGGTGGGGGTCCTCTCCCAAGGCTGCCCCACCTGGCAGATGGCCCAGTTCCCCTGCAGAGGCCACATCGGGGATGGGGCGAGCAGCCACCCGGCGGGCTCATGGCCAGTGCCAGGCGAGGCAGGTGTGGGCAGCCTAAGGTCCTCAGTAGCTGCCTGGGTATTGCCACCCCCCTCGTGCTGCTTCCTGAACAGGCCGCTCAGCCAGGACCAAGACCCAGGGCCTGGAACAGCCACTGCAGAGGCCATTCCAGCCTCTCGTCGCCCTTCCACTCTGAGGCTCACTGCCCTGCGCCCTCGCTGCCGCCGCCAGCCTGGAGCTCTTCACTGTAGCCATCGGACTCCCCACACGGTCGCCAGATGCCACTGCAGCAGGATTCCTGTTACCCCAGCAGGATGAAGATGCTCACCACTGGACGCCTCTGTGTCCTCAGCCCCGTTTCCAGACTCTACTGGTGCTGCCGCCACCGTGCAGCAACCAAACTCCCAAACCCCAGCTGGACTATGATGCTGCCCACCAAGGGCCCAACGTCAATGCCCTTCACCCCCCGCCATGATGCCTGACTCCAATGCCCCATGCCGGCTCCCGGATGAAGCTGCATGTTGTTGCTGCCACCACCAGACTCCATCATGGACGCATGACAGCGATACTCAGCACTGGATGCCCACTTCACCCACTGCAGCCAGACTCCTGTGGCACTGCAGGACAGAAATGATCATGGCAACATCCCTCTGTTGTCACCACAGCAGCTTCTGGACTCTTCTGCTGCCACCACCACTGTGAGTATGCAGCAAGGGATCTCCCAAACAGCAGCTGGATGCCAACACCTCAGCTGTTGCCACCCCCACGCCAACTCTCAACTCCGGACCTCCTTCGCCTGATGCCCTACGCCTGAAGCAGCTACATGTTGCTGCTGCTGCCACCAGATGCTACCACTCCATGAGGCCTCTTCAGTGATTCCATCCCAAAGATGCTGCTGTGCTGCCCAAGACCACAGAAGCTGGGAAGTTGGGCAGTCTCCATCCCAGTCGCCTCATCAGTGCCCACCGCTTGCCGCCTGCCTTTCCTCCCCCAGGACCACCCACCAGTCCTTCTGGGCCTTTGAACAGGAGTTGTGCTGACTCAGGGAACTCATCCAAGGAAAACAAGTGAGTACTTTAAACAAAGGTTGCAGTCCTCACAGCAGGCAGTGGGCGGGGCTAGGTGGGTCCAGCCTGCTGGTGTGGGGGCAGAGGTGGAGCTACTGGCCTCCTCTGGACCTTGACCCTGTGGGGCAAGCTGGAGAGGGATCTCTGGCTGCTCTGGGAGCCCAGCCTGGAAGCAGCTTCCTAACTCACCCTCACACTCCTCTCTGAAGGGGACTCTGGTTTCCAGAGAAAGCCATCTGGGCTCTTGGGCTCTGGGCAGTGGTATGAGCCAGACTGGACAGACTCCACCCACCTGGACTTGGGGAAAAGCCCCCTCTTGGGAAAATACCCTCCTAGAACTACCAAACTTAGTCTGACATTGGCTTCTTTCATGAGATTATCAAGAAAGGAAAAATATGTTACCTAGTTTTGTCTTGCAAAGGGTAGTGTGGGGAGAGGCAAAGGCATCAGAGTTGGTAGAGCTGAATTCACATCCCTTTTAACTGGGTGACCTTGTCCAGGGTCCAGAACTAGGTACAACCTTGGTTTTGCATCTGGTAAAACAAAGATGGTGAGGATGATACGCTATCACCATCTGTCATAGCTGGAGACCTCATGCGTGGTTCATAAATCTGACTATTCCAATAACTTAAGAAAATGACAAAGAAGGCACACAACCACACAGAAGTACCTTTTCAATAATCCGGGCGTGGCTCTGTGAACGTAAGGGCCCATGGAAAGACATAGAGCCACTGGAATTCTTTATTTTTACATAGGAGACACACAAGGGGAGTTTCCATAGAACATTTTATCCCAAAAAGGGCAAAGGGGTCGGAATACAAGGGAACAGATGAGTGTAACTCAACCCCAGTGGGTGATGCCTACACCTGGAGCCATGCCTTGTTATCTGAGCTGGGGTGATGCCCACATTACTGCAACCTGGCACTGCCCTGCCAGACTGAATGCAGTAATTGTTCAGAACCCGGTGCATCAGGGCTTAAAGGCGTCTGCATCCAAGGCAGCTCCCGACAATAAGCCATGGGCAAATCAAGTTGTTCTGCACTACCTCACCTTGGGAGCCAGGTAGGCATTCAGCAATATTTCCATGCAGAAATATATTCTCAGACTAAAGGTGACACACCTAGAAGTGCACCTTTGGATGACAACTGACCTGTGAGGTAGGGAGTTGAAATTTACATCATGTTTTTAGAGGAAATAATAATATATGGAAGGTCATAAACCAAAGCATGAAATGTTGGGTCAGGCTCATGGAATTAAAAGCTGTTTTCAAATTTGTTTAAAGTTACATTGAGATAAATCTATGTAGTTCAAACCTTCCAGGATATCCCCCACCTCTGCCGCACACACAGGGAGCAGTGTCCACAACTTTTTTACTCCTCTTTACAGTATCACCAAATGTATGTGTGTGTGTATACACACACACACACACACACACATATATATACTCGCACACATATACATGATGTATTATGTAATATTTTGTTCTTTTTGGTTTGTTTTTAGACTGTCTGTAATAGAATCTCATGTACATTCTTTTGCTCCCCTTCAGCTGACCATCAGGAAGAAGGAAACACCAGAGAAGCTTGAGGATCAGAAGGACACTAGCCCTGCTCTGGTCACCCTGGAAGCTGGCTAGCCTGCACACACCAAAGCTTGAGGAAACAGCAGCCCTGCTTCAGCCACTTGAGGGCTGGCTGATCAATGCAAGGAGGAAAATAAACTAGGCAACAGGACAAATGGACTGTTTCGTCCTGTAAGAGGGCTCCCACACTGTGGGGCATGGCCACCCCTTACTTCTGTCATATGCACAGTCCTCTCCTTGGTCTTTACTACAGGACTGACAACCACCAAACACACAGCTAACCCATAATGGGGGGCGGGGCAAGGGAAGATGGGAGGGACTTTGGATTGGGCAGAGGGGAGTGTGGGAGGGGAGGGGATATGGGAGTGGGAAGGATGGTGGAATGAGGTGGATTGTATTAATCTATGTACATGTATGATTGCAGGAATGGGGTGACTGTGCACTGTGTCTAACCAGAGAAATGAAAAGTTGCCTCCGTTTGTGTTTAATAGTCAAAATGCATTCTGCTGTTATATATAACTAATTGAAAAAAATTCATAAAGGTCTAAGGCTTAAAAGGAAGTTTAGACACTTTAATGGTCATATAAATATGTATACTTTTCTTATATAAAATTTAAACTTATTAATTAAATTGAAAAAAAAAAAAAAACAACTAGCACATGTACTAGTTCAAACCTGAAAGGGCATTAAGGCTTGGGAACCAAGCTCACTCTTTGGAGGATGGTTTTTCTATTCTTGGTGGATTCAAAAGTTTAATTGACATAGTATGGATTATGCTATTGTTTATTGCTTTCATATTTGTCTCCCCTTTACAATGAAACTATTGGGTCAACTATAGAAGCAGCTGTTAGAGGGGGGGGGGCAGGAGGAGGGAAACATGGAGGGAGAAATTAAGATTATGGCATTATATAAAATTTTAAGCCTAGAAGATGATGTTTTTTGATTTAAAGGGTTAAATAATGAGCATAGAGGGGGTAACGATGTATCACAAATACTCCAAATAGTCCAAATGATGTAGTGTCCAAAAGATCCCCACCTTAATTGTAATATATAAGCCTTTCTCCTAGTAAACAAGATTTTTTTTTTGAAGTCAACAGGATTTCTAGAGAGCTCATTGTAGTTTAGCTCCTCTTTATTGTAAAGGTCAGGTTTCTCTTTCTTGTAAAAGTTAGGTCTGCAGGGCTGGGGTTGTGGCTCAGTGTTAGAACACTTACCTAGCAGGTGTGAGGCACTGGGTTTGATTCTTACACCACATAAAAATAAAATAAGGTATTGTGCCCATCTACAACTTAAAAAAAAGTTGTGTCAGCAATCAAACTTGTTGATGTACAAAAGTTACTCTTTCTCTTTTCTTAGTAAAATCTTGTGAAACCTCTGTCCAATCTAAGAACATGGAAGAAAAAGTAACTATTATGTTAGCCATTGTGTTGTGTAACCATTCACTGAGTAGAAATCCCAGAGAACTTCCATACCTGGGGTCCAGGGATTTTTTGGCATTAGCCCCTCTGGATTACACCAGCTTAAATAAACCTTGTTCCTGCACATTTCTCAAGTGTCCAGCCTCCTCTGTCCTACATCAATACCTGCTTGAAATGCTAGAATGTCCCCATTCTTGAAGGACACTCAGAGACAGTCTCTCTGGCTCTGCCACAGTATGAATTCTATCCAAAGATATTAATCACAAAAAACTAAAGGGAGATTACACTATAGTGACCTCCTGGGGGGAGATTCAGTGTTGCATGATGAAACTTGTATACATATATTGAATTGCTATGATATACCCTGTAAAGTATAGAAATGATACATCTGAATAAACATGTTTTGTGAGAAATTGAATGTCATGTTTGCATTTGGGGTTGTTTCTAATATTATGCTGTAATAATATTTAATGATGTGATTACATTTTTTTAAATCTGAAAATAAATCAGAATTTTGTACAGTAACATTGTTAGTAAAGGGGATATTTTGGTGATTAGAATGTTTGCTTTCCTGTTAAAGCTAACTTGTTGAATTAAAGCTTTGCAGCAGACACCAACTCCATTAGAACCTCAGTCTGGTGAAGCCACAGCGTGGTGCCTGACCAGGGAAGTGCCCATGTGTGCCTGGTTCTTTGCCACCTAGTAGATAGGAGCCCTGACCCAGGGGGGTGGGACCTGCATTCCTGCCCCCTTACTTTCTCATGTTGGGGCACCTTGACTGCTGTGCTCTGCTTTAATCTCTCATCGGTGAGAATATTTGTCCAATGTGCCATGGGGCTGTTGAAGATCCGTGATGAAATTTATGAAGTTTAATGAAGTCTGGCTGGTTTATAGCTGAGGAGTGGCGCACCCTGCCAAAGCTGCCTATGTGACTGCCCTCTACCTGCTTTCCTGTGTGGTCCCTGTGGAAGGCAGGGGCACTCCTGTTCATCTGCCATGCAGCCTGCCAGTTTCAAAGGGTGAGAGATGTTAAGTAGCAGTGAATTGTGAGAAATGAAATGCAAGCCAATATCAGGGCAAGGTCATGGGTTTTCCTTAAGTTACTTTTAAGGTTTTCTTTAAATTAATTTTAAGGCAAGTGGGTACTCAGATAATGCAGGAAAACAACAAGTATACAAATAAAGAGAACAAAAGGAGCCAAATAAGAAATACATCAAAGGTTTAATGGGGGCTATTCCTAACTCTTGACAGGGTCAGTTGAGGTCATTGTAAAGCTAGAATTGATGGACACAGGTGTCCCAATTCTCACATTAACATAGGATTGACTCGTAAATAACACTCCCCTCCCTAGGTGGACACCATGACAGTTCTGGAAAGGACCAACTGGAGCCCAAAACTCTACCACCTGACATGAAGGAGTTGAACCCTGATTGTCAAATAGTGCTGAAGGTGGACCCCAGCTCTCAGGGCACCCCTAAAACACCAATCCATTTGGAGACAGCATTGTTCCATTTGTCGTTCTCGGCTGGGAGAAGACCCACTCAGGAGTGCTCTTTGTTTGAGCCTTACTCTACTTTTACTTATAATGAAGCTCTCCTGCATGGCTTTTTGAGTCTGTAATTTCTCTTTTTTTGGAACACAAACACTGAGGTTTGGAGCTTCAACTCCCCACTCTCCTGGAGTCCCTTGTCAACCCTAGCAACCTGCATCTTGGTGTACCATTGCAGTAAGATGAGTTCCTTGTTTGGAGCTAAAGTTTTATGGCAATAAACAAGGCATCCTATGAATCCATGAGTGGTGATAGTAGCAGAAGCTTTATGAATAGGGAAAGGACATTTACATTTGGAATGTGTATTTACTCCTGTGAACCACCATGTTTCTGCTAGTGTTTGTGAGCAGCTCTGCCATCTCCAGGACTCTGTGTCAGCTTGTTATCAGCAGGAGGAACATGCACCAGTGGAGTAGCTAGGTCAATCCAGGTAGGAAGGAGCCCATGTTCTGCCCAGGCATACACTTCCTTTCAGAAATGTGGGGTGATAACGGGATTCCAGAATGTGGGTCCCCAGTTCTAGACCATACTTCCAATGGGAACTTAAAAATCTCTTCACACAGAAATCATTAGGCTCAAATGGTTTCACCAGCAAGTTTTATCAAACGTCTAAGGAGCAAATAATTTCATTCTTACACAAAACTCTCCAGGGTGCTGAAAAAGGACATTCCTTATTTCACATGAACATTAGGCCACTCTAATAAACATGGGTGCAAAATTCTTCACTAAACATTAGCAAATCAAGTGCAGTGTAGTAAATGTGTTTTTTATCACTGGTCCCAGAAATGCTATACATAATTGTATCAAGGGGAAAATACATACACACATACATTTATCTGAGAATGAAAGATTTAATATGTGAAAATCAATGTGATCCTCCATCTCAATAGAGTGAAGGAGGAACATGATATGGTTTTCTCACTAGAGGCAGAAAAGCACTTCATGCTAAGTGACATGCAGGGCATTAGAATAAAGAGCTACTTCCCTTTTCTGTTCCAGAGCAGCTTCAAAAGTGCTAACCACTCTTTGTAAGGCTGGTGGATATTTTAGGGATGCAGGTTGGGCAGTATGAAGGGTTCATTCTTACAAATCCATACTAAATCGATATCACTTTGACATCTGTTTAAATCTGTTCACATAACTTGGAGGGAATCTGGTGATGTAACAAAATGTAGAAAAAAGAAATGCTTTGGAAAGGAGAGGGGGAGCTAGTCCTGGGTAGGCATCGGCATCCACATTTTGAACTGCTACAGCCCATCAGTCCCCCTGACTATCTTCAGCCTTGGCCTTTGGACGGGGCCAGCCCAGCAGCATGGGCAGGTGGGCAGGTCGACAGGGCACTGAGGCCAGGAGAATCTTCTCGAAGAAGAAGAACTTGGTCACAGGTCTCCATGGACAGGAGCAAGGCAGAGAAGAACCAAGACAGTTTCTTCTCCAATGCAAATCCCAGCAGCCACTTCCTCTCAGGCTTCTCAGACCAGATCTTAATTGGAATCCTCTCTTTGCTGAATCCATGGGAACCCACAGACTTCATTTGGGGCAGGCTGCAAGCTGGGCTGAGGCATAAATCTGAGCTCTGGGACACACATTGGTACTATTTCCTGGGCAGGGATGGCAGTGTCCCCTCTGTTACCCAAGGAAGGACTATGGTCCCTGTGGGGCAACAAGTTCCAGACAGGAGTGGGGTCTCTGTAAGCTCTTTACACATCAACTTTGCTCAATTTATCTTAACCCTAAATTAAAGAATATATTTAACTCCTTAAAAAAAGGGAAATTCTCTTCTAAGTACCTGGAGAAGACCAGGGAGGCTGTGGTATTTGATCCAGTGAGACTGTTGGCTTCAGAATCCTGCCCCGGGTTTCACTGGGGCCATAGGATGGAAGTGAAGATGTCAAAGGCCAGAAGAAACCCTAATATACACTTCCTAAAAACATGGGACCTACCAGGTTCTGAGTACTTTCTCAGACCCAGTCTCATACAACCCTTTCAACAAACCTGGGACATAAGAAGAACTAAACTGACCCAGTTTTATAGATTAAAAGGTAGAGGTAGAGATTTGAGTTGGCTGACCAAGCTGAACCAGCCAATGAGGAGATGGAACCTAGAGATCTGAACTTGGACCAGCCTGACTCCAAGACCTGTGTTCCTCATTGACCTCCTGTGAGGCTCATCTTCAGAGCTTGCTTAGGGCTACCTTCCAGCATGGTGCAAAGTTGCAACCAGAACCTCAGTCACTTCCTCTTATTCCACTGCTCCAACCACAACCAAAAAGTTAATCCCAAGGGGGAAACAGGAAGACACGCAAAGCAGTGTACCCAACTTTCCTATAAACGAAAATACCTGAAGGCAATTCTGATATAAAGCTTACTTCGAGCTTTTCATTTGGACATTTCTTCTGTACCAAATGGGAGTGGACACATGGACCAGATTTAGCTCTACAGCATCATCTAGCCCAGCAGCTACATTCATATCTCCCTGGGGTGTAAGAGAAAGCCCCCTAAATACACAGAAAATTCCAACGATCTGATAAATGGAAGTGATTTAAAGTAAGCCCCATGCTTACTTTATATAGAATCATTTATTGTTCTTGCTTACACAATGTTTTTTACCCTATAAACAACCTTGACCCTTGTCTCATTTTTGTGTGTCCCATATCATGGATTTTTCATGATCCAGTCAAGGAATATGAAAGTTCCTTGCAAATTCATTACAGGCAGAATGGCTGCTGCCAACTCTGTTTTTATCTCATGTTGCCCTTTGTAACTATTTTCATTATAAACAATAACTGTGTTCTGCCCACCTTAATATCTAAACTATATTATTTCCATAGAAATGGCTTAGAAGTGGCTTTAAGAAGAAAGTTCAGGTATGAGTTCAGCTAATTCATTCAGTTCTGAAAGCACAACTAATTCAGCTCAGTGATCTGAATTTTTTGGTAACAGAAGCTGCAGAATGCTGTCCCTCTCCTCCCTCTTTTTAACCCACTTTAGTGTCTTGTAGCTTTGCGTAAACATGAGACCTTTCCTTTAGCATAAATGGACACTATATACCTCTTCAATTAGCATAGTGATTGGAAAGAGATGCAGAAGAGCTAAAAACTCCTTAAAAATCTTTCCCACGGGGCTGGGGATGTGGTTCAAGTGGTAACGCGCTCGCTCGCCTGGCATGTGCGGGGCACTGGGTTCGATCCTCGGCACCACATAAAAATAAAATAAAGATGTTGTGTCCACCGAAAACTAAAAAATAAATATTAAAAAATTCTCTCTCTCTCTCTCTCTCTTTTAAAAAATGCAATCTTATTTTCTCCTTATCCTGCTGATACAAAGTTTTTGATCTTAGACCCTGAAATAGCTCCTGCAGCTTCTGGGTGGTTTCCTTCGGGTTCATATGCCCACTTTCATTATCTAAAACTAAACTTAAAGGGTAATACATGATAATCTTTGTGGATCCAGAAAGAGCTTATTAGATTCAATTTCAGGTTGGGGGAGTAGATACAGGGCATTTAATTATTATTATTATTTTTAAAATAAACAGATGGCAAGGGTATTCTTATTTAGGTGAGCAAAATTCAAGACAAACGCTTTTAGAAGTGATCCAGGTATTTTTTTTCCTGTGTAATTTCTCTAAGCTCCTTAGCTCTAAAACTTTTGCATTATATGTTTTCCTGTTGTTAGGCATAGCAAAATATTATTGATGTATTATAGTAGGATTACCCAGCTGTGCCTGTTAATTTTAATTTCTAAAATTTCAAATATTTTTAGGCATTACTTTGGTGTCTGAGAATATTTGAGGATGCCCAGGCCACATCTTTTTTCTATAAAGATAATGCAAAAGATTGAGAGAGGCAACAATTGGAGATTCCAGATGGC